TCAGAATCGTGGCTGCACTGTATCACCTGCATGATAACAGTCCTTGGCCAGTGAAAATATGGATCTCTCAGCTCTAAATATTTAGCTTTTACTTGGAGATTTTTTGTGAGCAATCTTCTCTTTCCTTTTTTTCTGGAGAGTTATTAAGCCTTATATATGTAGTATGGACTGATGACCCTGGCTTTGTAGTATTGCCTCCATTCAGCTCTATACAAAGAAAATCTTTGTCCATCTCCTTTCTGCCAATATTATAATTTTTTAAAATAATTTTGTTTTAAAATAAAGTTTTTCAAAGTGACGAGGGAAGAATTTTCAGTGAAAATGCTTGTTAGTTTTTATTTGCACAAGTAATCGCTATAGATTTTGCAGCCACCCTCTTGTGAAGTGACCCTCCTCTTCCCTGCTAGTCCAATACGCAAATAAAAAGGGTTACATATTAAAATGAATGTATTTAACCTCTATTTGTAATCTTATGCACACTCACTTTCTCTTATAAGAGACGGAGACTTAAAATCCTTTATTCTTTGATTTCTCCTCTGGCTTTTAGAAATAATAATACCCCATTCAGCCTTCTGTAATGAGTTCAAAATAGGAGTAAAGCACTGTCTGAAGCTTAACAAGCATAAACTCAGAAGTTTATCTGTGCCACCATTCACTTTTCAGTTCAGAAATTCCTTTCACTTCAAGTTCCTGAATGGGAATGGCATTTCTATTTAACTCAGGAAAATATTCTTAGTAGATCTAGACTGAAAAATGCATCCACAAGGCACCCTAGAGTCTCAATACTTTGATCACCTAAATAACTGCATTGTTCAGGGAAATGACCCTTTTTAGTCAACATAATCAGATTTTAATCTTCCAGAAACAAATATGCAACATGGACACCATGGACTGGCCCCATCCACAGATCATTCACAGTATGAAATAGGAATGCTGAGATGAATATCCATGCCACAAAATGCTTGAAAGCTTCCTCACTGCCAACACCACCACTAATATTTGCAGAGTAAAACAACTGACAAAATGAAGCAATGATTTAATTTTCTTTTTTTTTTTTTAATACCATTTCTGGGGGGGAAGTGTGAGATTTTTTAACTGATATTAAAGTTATATATATATATAAGTTAGCATTACAAAGAGGATATCAAGACAACTCTAGTGGCTATACCTATCATGCATAGATATATGCTAATTTATCTATAAATTGAGAAAATTAATAAAGGTTGTAAGCTGTTATTACTAGATATTTCAGTTGAGCTCATGGGTCTACCTGTCAACTGTTAACTCAAGACTTAACCTACCAATGTATTTCTATCTTTGGTCTATTTAGACTTTCTGCTGCCTAGGAACAGGACTATACCTTATAGCAAGTCCACAAAGAGAAAAAGATTAACAGAAATGCTTTTTTTTTTTTTTTTTTTTTATTTCTGGAGTCACTTCCTAGTCTAATACTAACAGTATTAAGCAAAGACAAACAAAAAAAATAAAATCCCACAACAAGCACAGGAAATGTAATATAAGTTCCTTCTGATCACATTTTTTTGTGGTTTTTTTGTTTGTTTGTTTTTTGTTTTTTTTTTTTTTTCAAGTGCATATTGTCTACAAACTGCAGATAAACAAAGCAAGTCTAACTTTTTTTTTTCAAAGCATCAGATTTTTCTGAATACTTTTAAACTTTTTAACATTTTAAAGAGATCATACAAGAAAAATCTTTAAGAAATCAGTTAAATTGTAAGGTCAATTTCTAAAACGTACGAAGTAGGTAAACCATAACCATAGTAAGTGAGGAACCTCCACCAGCTGTGATGTTTATCAAACCATCAACCTTTCAGAGACAGTTTCACAAAATGCTGCACCACTTCGCTGTGGGATTATGCCTATGTCTAGAACAGTGGAGCTAGGTAAATCCTGAGATCGTTTCAGGACAACATGCAAATTGACTAACTTCTGCCGTTTTCCCTAACCCTTAACTTCTGTGCAAGTGCTAAGCAAGCAAATGAGAAATCAGGACATGGTTCCTGCATCATTAGGGATGACAATCCTTGGGCATATCAACAGGAAAAGCCCCAGATCAGCATACAGACACTCTATGGTACGTTACCTTATGACCCTTATTGTCAGCCCTCTGCTACTCATTGTCAATGAACTACCTAAAACTAACATTCTTATGCAAAAAAAATGTTTTGAAGATTGAGTATTCATTTTTGTTCTGATGTCACACAAGCCCAACTGCCGCGATTGAGAGACGGAGACCCAGCTCGATGCAAGTCAGGATCTACTTTATTGAACACAACAACCGATTTTATATTCCAAACAGACAAAGAGAGACACGTGTTTTAAGCTGATTGGCACAATGGTTAATCACCTAATACATATTACAAAAATTGAGCTCATGATTGGCTAACGTCTAAGGTCAGCTTGACTTTTTCTGCAGTTAATTTTCTGCTAGCTCACAGCATTCTTCTTCTTAACAACTTCTACTCCTGTTTCTATAGCACATGCTTATCTCTAGTTACGGAAACCAGCCCTCCTGGAAGAAATGGTCCTTAGCCCCAGGGGTGTAACAGTTTGCTTACAGATCATGCAAATTACGAGACGCCAAGTTGAGCACGTCCCTCCTAATCAGCTCTATCTCGCTGCTAGAAGGAGAGACCAGGCTGCCCCGGCATCTCCCCCTTCTTGTTGCACAATAAGGACCCTTTTCACTGAACTGGCTATCAGGTTCTGCACACACTGCAAAAAACAGGGTAAACAAAGTAACAAAAGAATAAAAACGACTAAAGCATACACAATCATTTTTACAAGGCTTCTCAACCATCCTGATAGGCTTACTGTCTATCAAAGAACAATTCAGAAAATTAAAAACATATAAAGCTTTCTGAAGACGTTCCTCGGGGGTAACGGTCCCTATTCCCCCTTTTTGTTGTTGCAATAAGCGTTTTAGAGACTGATGAGAGCGTTCAATTAAGGACTGGCCCGTGGGGGAATGAGGGATACCCGTAATGTGGTTGATCCCCCAAGAACTCAAAAACTTTTTAATTGCAGTTGAAATATATGCAGGGCCATTGTCAGTTTTAATTTGAGAAGGTATGCCTAAAGTGGCAAAAGCACGCAGCAGATGTCGTTGAACATCGTGCGCCTTTTCGCCAGTATGACAAGAGGCAAATAATGCCCCAGAAAAGGTATCAATAGAGGAGTGAATATATTTTAAGTGACCAAACTCCGAAAAATGAGTGACGTCGGTTTGCCAAAGTTGCAAACTTTGCAATCCTCTAGGATTAACTCCTCCTGCTATTGTAGGAAATGAGTGCCTTTGACAATCGGGACACACAGCAACTATACTGGTTGCCTGCTGAGTAGTAAGGCCAAATTGTCGCTTAAGCCCACCAGCATTTTGGTGAAAGAAAGCGTGGCTGAGTTTTGCTTGTGCTATGCGGTCTGGCAGTACCTGTACCGGTAATGTAAGCAGGTCAGCTTGCCGGTTCCCTTCCGCTATAAAGCCAGGCAAGGAAGTGTGAGATCTGACATGCATAATGAAATAGGAATGAATGCGAGAATCTAAAAGAAAAATAAGCTCCTGTAACAAAGCAAATAATGCAAAATGTGAGACATTTCGTAACACAGACGCCTCAGCTCGTTCAACAATCCCTGCAACATAAGCTGAATCAGTGATGATATTAAGCGGTGTAGACCATTTTCTAAAGGCTCGGACGACGGCAGTCAGTTCCACGATTTGTGGGGAACCCGGCACTGTCTTTATATCCGATTCCCATTGTTTGCGCTGGTCATCCCACCAGAGGATAACAGATTTATGGGACTTCCCAGATCCATCTGTAAAAACAGTAAGAGCTTGCAAAGGCTGGTCACTCCTCTTTGGTCTAGGTACAAGCTGGAAATTAGCATTAAACAATTTATGAGAAGGTGGGTGAGAAGTGAGTTGGCCTGTATAACCAGCTATCGCTATACTGAAGGCTTCCGATTGTTGGTGAAGCCACTGCAAATAATCACTGACCATAGGCAAATAAATACAAGTGAAGTCCATTCCAGACAACATTAACAAGCGCCGCCTGGCACGGACAATCAAGGATGCAAACATTTCATGCTGTGTTGAGATGGTTTTCGTGGGTTGATTCGGTAAAAATACCCATTCAGTGATAAGCAAGGGGTCAGACTCCTGCAAGTCCCATTGAAATATCAAGGCATGAGGCTGTCGAGCAGGATTCAAAATGATTAAAAGGAAAGGTAACTCAGGGGCATATCGATGTGCCTGTCTTAAGGTAATAGCTGTAGCAACTTTTTGTAAGGAATCAACAGCTGCAGGGTTGAGAGCGCGAGGGGAACATAAGTCTGTGCTCCCCTTAAGCAGGTCGAATAAAGGACTTAAATCTGCATTGGAAATTCCTAGCAAAGGTCGGACCCAATTAATTGTTCCCAACAACTTCTGCACATCATGCAAAGTCCTCACATCTGCTTGAATTAGTAAAGGCTGTGGGACTATAGTTTGAGCCCATATGCGCCAGCCTAGATATTTCCATGGTGGTATTTTCTGAACCTTTTCTGGCGCAACACAAAGACCTGCTGAATTAACAGCAGTTATGACAAGGGCTACAGCTTCCTCCGTGACTTCGTGATGTTGTGCTGCCACTAGAATATCATCCATATAATGGTACAATAAAACGCAGGGCATCTTTGTTCTAACAGGGCTAAGGACCTTGGCTACATACCATTGGCATATTGTGGGACTGTTTTTCATTCCTTGTGGTAGCACAACCCACTGATATCTCTGCAATGGAGCTTGCATGTTGACGCTTGGAACTGAAAAAGCAAATTTAGGAGAATCTTCTGGATGCAAGGGGATATTAAAAAAGCAGTCCTTGAGGTCAATGACTGTCAGAGACCAGTCCCGGGGGATCATTGTGGGAGAAGGGAGCCCTGGTTGCAGGGCTCCCATGTCTTCCATAGCGTCATTAATTTTTCTGAGGTCATGGAGCAAGCGCCACTTGCCAGTTTGTTTTTTAATCACAAAAACAGGTGAATTCCAGGGGCTTACAGAGGGCACAACATGTCTTTTGGATAACTGTTCATCAACTAATTCTTCCAGGGCGCGAAGCTTTTCCATCGGCAGGGGCCATTGATCCACCCAGACAGGGGTATTAGTTTTCCAGGTTAATCTCAGGGTGTCGCGCACCTCAATGGCCCCTCCTAAAAATGCGTTTGAATAGCCATTCCCCATTGTGACAGTACATCACGTCCCCATAAGATCATAGGCACAGGTAGCACAAAGGGCTTAACAGAGGCCACATGCCCCTCCGGGCCCAGTATCTGAATGAGCTCTAGGCTCTGGTGACTATTTCCAGCACCTCCAATCCCTGCTAAGGTCTGAGAAACATTGGCCAGAGGCCATTGTGGGGGCCATTTAGCCTGGGAGATCACCGTAACCAGAATCACTATTCTGACATCCACCTTCGGTGCCAATCTCCTGCTGTAGTAGTGATAATAATGCCTGTAATACTCTTCAGGATGATCCAACATGTAGTCATAATCTTTGCGCATTTCTTCATCCGGAGCGGCTCCGGCCGCGGCGGCGGTCCCCGCTCTCTCACCTTGAGCGTCTCGTAGGCGGTGGCGATGAGGAGGAACTTCTCGTGTGCCGCCTGCGGGCCGCCGCCCAGCGCGGCCGGCTCCCCGCGGTAGCGGTCGGGGTGGTACTTGCGGGCCAGCTGCCGGTAGGCGCGGGCGATCTCCGCCTTGCTGGCCTGCCGGCTGACGCCCAGCACCTCGTAGCGCACCCGGCGGCCGCAGTACAGCCCCTCGGTGAGGCCCCGCGCCGCCGGCAGCAGCAGCGCGGCGCACACACAGAGGCACAGCAGCCGCCGCCGCCACGCCGGCACTGCGCGCCCGACCGCCGCCGCCGCCGCCATTTCGCTGCCGCCACCGCCCCCGCGCTTCCACATTATCTATCTGGCGCTCTAAGGCTTGCTTTAATCTGTCAATAAATTGCATATAAGGCTCCCGAGGTTCCTGAGTAATGGTAGTAAAAGCCTTTTGTGGCTTTTGAGAGTCAGGTATTTTAAGCAGAGCCTTCTTTGCTTCATTCCGCGTGGCGTCAAGCGCTTCCCGCGGAATATCCCTCGCCTGAGCCACCGGGTCCGTGTGCTGGCCAGTACCCGTAAAATGCTCAATAGTCAATGCAGCAAGAGCAGGATTATTATGGCCCACATAGGTTAGTAAAAGCGTTTGGAGTCCCCTCCCCCATTGCGACTCCCATAGCGAATACTGTGTGGGGGTTAACAGCAACTGTGCGAGAGATTTGATATCATGCGGAGTCATGACATAAGTATCTAAGACAGAAGATAACAAACTCGCGAAATATGGGGAAGAGAGGCCATGCTCGGTAACAGTACGGCGCAACTCCTTCACCACAGGGAAGGATAATGCCTCCCATTGAGCCCCCCTCCCCTGATAGATAACAGGAGCGACTATTTTTTTCGCAAGTTGCAAGTCCCCCTCTTTCAGACCTTGTCGTTTAATATTTGCCCATACGTCCTGGGGATCGGGAGGGTAGAGATCTGGCTCCTCCTCTGGGTCCACTGGTCCTGGATCAAAAGGATCATCCTCTGGGGGGTACTTGGCGGCACCCACCTCAAGAGGCTCCGAGGTCTTCTTATCGACCGGGGGACCTTTCCTGTCTTTAGTGTCTTTATTCTTAACGGTCTCCTGAGCCTTCTGAGTTTCAAAGATAGTCCTCCACCACGGGAGCATGCGCTGTGCTTCAGCATTCCCTGTTGTAGCCGCGTCCCACAGCTTAACCCCCACGTCATCCCAAAGCTCAGTCGTTAATATACTGGAAGCAGTTACAGTGGGGATTTTCACTTGTACCCACTTGAGCATAACCTTAAGATCTTGCCCAGAGAGATTCTTTTCATATTTTTCAAGAAGGGCTTTCATAAGTTCGTACACGTCCCTCTCTGGGGAAGACAGCTGACTTCCCATGTCTCCCACAGCTCACCTCACAACTCCGGAGGGATTCTTAATGCCGGCTCCTGCTTCCTTTCAGCAGCTCATTCAAAGTTCTGTGGGACTCGCAGCATGCCACGCAGATAGGTGGTTCTTAATCCCGAATCACGTCGGGGTCACCAATTTGCCGCGATTGAGAGACGGAGACCCAGCTCGATGCAAGTCAGGATCTACTTTATTGAACACAACAACCGATTTTATATTCCAAACAGACAAAGAGAGACACGTGTTTTAAGCTGATTGGCACAATGGTTAATCACCTAATACATATTACAAAAATTGAGCTCATGATTGGCTAACGTCTAAGGTCAGCTTGACTTTTTCTGCAGTTAATTTTCTGCTAGCTCACAGCATTCTTCTTCTTAACAACTTCTACTCCTGTTTCTATAGCACATGCTTATCTCTAGTTACGAAACCAGCCCTCCTGGAAGAAATCGTCCTTAGCCCCAGGGGTGTAACAGTTTGCTTACAGATCATGCAAATTACGAGACGCCAAGTTGAGCACGTCCCTCCTAATCAGCTCTATCTCGCTGCTAGAAGGAGAGACCAGGCTGCCCCCGGCACCCAACACCTCTGGAAATCATCCAGGGATCCCAACACGTCACTGGAACAGCCATGCAGCAGGATATTAGCCAGCTTTATGACAAACCTAGGCTACAGCTTCTCTGTGCCAGTTTGAAACAAAAACTTTGTTATGTTTCTTCTCATCTTTAAGGTTCATGCTCGAACCTTGAGGCCTGTGAGAGACTATTTAAAAATCTTCAGAGTGTCTCCCCCCTTACTGCTATTCTCTACTATTATTCTGTACCTTCCATTTGAGTACTAAAATTAGCAAAAAGGGCAAGCGGGCAGCTCAAGACAGACTTGGGATGAGATTAGTGATCTAAAACCAGACTTCAGAGTACCAACCTGACTGCATTTTGTATAAGAAGAACAAACATCACATTATTGGTACAAACAACATGGTTTCAATAAAATAGCATTTTCTAATTAACTCTACTTTTTTTTTTTTTTCTTTAATGCTTATTTATTTCAAACTTTTAACCCAGTATTTCCTCCTTTGGAGTCCATTTTACATCTTTCATGCTTGCAATATACTACTAACTCTCCAAGTGACTAACTTCAATAAGCCTAGTCTTTATTAGACTCTGTAAGATGGCTCGAGTCAGGCCCTGAGCTCACCTGAATGAAAGGGTCAGAGAAACCTCCATACTGAGTATAACTGTTTTCCCCCCCAGTAATCCTTAGCATTGAGGTATTTTTGTATACAAGAAGATCTGAAACACATGATTTCTAATTTCTTTTAAAAATATCTAAACTATTGTAAAGATTAAAGAAAGCATTAGCATTCCTATATATAGCATAAGTCACTTATCCTCAAATATCTAATATATACTGATTTCATACATTCAGGGTTGTTAGGGAATTTAAAATCTTTTACCAGCTTTTTTTCCTACAAGTTTTATTACAAAAGTATGGTTTTCCAACCACCGTAGCTAAAATGTCTGCTTTAAAACTTCATCATACAGTAAAAAAGATGGATATATTCCCAGTGTGGCCATTCACCATCTGCTTAAGCAAATACACTTAAAGATGCTTCTACAATTGTGATAAAATGACAGCAAATCTAAGAGCACAGAGCTCATATTCTAAAATGATGATTGTACAACTATAGTTTGTATCATTAGGGACCAATAAAAGTCTTTATGTTCCATTCGAATGGCAAGGACCTTTATCAAAGAGAAGCTGGAATAGTAAAATAACAAAGAAATGATCCATTTGCAATTGTCTTAAATTTAGGAGCAGTAACGAAACAACTTTTTACCATAAATAGTAACTAGCACCACAAAGATATTTTTCTCACTTTCAGATATTTTTACTGATATACAAGACTTGCCATTTTACTAGATTCCAGGAGTGTTTTTCTCATTTTCCAAGTGGGATTAATCATAAGCACAGGTAAATTCCATATTCTTAACAACAGTTCAGTGAAGACTCTCTGTATTCAGATTGTTATTCTTTTTATTATCAAAATTATGATTGGGAAATTCTAAATTCAGAGCTGCTTCTTTGCACAGTGAAATACCCTGACAAAGGCTGAATAAGAAATGAAAACTGACAGTTTTATTAGTCAATAGCACTTTTTCTATCTATTCTGTACCATTAACATTATTAGATATAAAAACTGTATTAAAACACGGATTCAATACACTGCATGTTTACCAGGAGTCTTAGTAATAAACCTATAGAGAATATAGCTAAGAACTCTATTGCTTTAAGGCCAACATCAGCAGTTTCCTTTGGCAAAAACACTTTTTATTCCAGAGATTCAGCAGTCTTGGTCTTTAAATGGTGGAAAGAAAAGAAAAAAAAAAAATCCACCATCTGTTCCAGCCCTGAGGGAGACAAACTTTCCTGGCAGTATATAGTTCAGGATTTAATTGCACCCAAAGCCAATACATGTAAATGTAAAAAGATAAAACATCATTCTTAGGAAGTGGAAGTTTTATATAATTTTACTTTATCTTACTTCTTTGGACTAGACTTTAACCTATTTTTGCTGTAATCTGTTTTCCTTTATTTCTGCTGTTTGCTTTCAACAATTTTAAATTAAATCCACGTTATTCCTGATAAAGAGAAGACTGGCAATAAATAGAATATATACACTCCGATATTCATCAAAATCATGCTACTTACGTTATTTTATGTACCAATGACACAATTAACAGACTGTATCATTGTTGTGGTTTGAGCCTGGTTGGCAGCCAAACACCACGCAGCCCCTTCTCTTCTGGAAATGAGAAGGGACAGCTGAACCAGGCTTGGGGTTTGAGATAGGACCGAGAGGGGTAGATCACCCATTATGATCACGAGCTTGAAGCTGATTATTTTCTGGTCACTTCTGACACTCGTCCATACCATAACTTGTCATCACAAGCATGGATGGAGGTGGAAGGAAGTCATCTTCATATCACAATCTGTTCTAGTCACAAGATGAGATGAAACAAAGGGAAAAATTTGAAGTTATCTAGGTAGTGACTTACTAAGAATTTGAATTTGGAAGTGTCCAGCTTTTACATCTCATTACTTATATTCTGCACTTTGTAGTAGATTCCAAGAAGTATGAAAAAACTTACAATATTTACAGAAATTCATAGAATATTGCCTCAACTAAGTAATGCCAAATATGTACATTAAGAGACTTTGAATCTTACCCCATTTCTCAGGTTCTACTAAGACACTATGCAATAAAAACCAACCAACCCTGAAAACGCAACACTACTTTCCTAGTTTTTGTTTACTGTGAACCCACAAATATCCTATGTTAAGGGAGAGTAAATGGCAAACCACAAGAGGCAGCTTTTAACTTCCAGGTTTTATCCATTGTAGATTTACTTTCCCCATCAATTATTAGCTACTGGAGTTATAAATGGAAATTTAGGATCATTTTTGCATGTTTACTTCTCTCCGGTGTTTGTAAAAGAAGCTATTGTTTCTTTAGTTGGTATACCATATATTAGCCAACTCGAATTACAAATATTATGCCAATGCCTTATATATGTATCCAATTGCTAATGATTTTTAAAGGCCATCAGTATGTTCCATTAGACAAATTTCCCACATTACCTAATGATAATTCTGACATGATTTTAACTAAAACTTTAAAAAGTTCACATTAGAGAAACCAATGTGCATTAGTTTAATGTTTTTTTGTTATTCTAAACTGAAAAATAACATATCTCGCTTAAAGGTCTGCCTAAAGACAAGACTTCGTCTGTCTGATAAAACGGTTTAAATTTAGTTTGATTTATTGTGTTAAAATTTTCACTATCCCACAGTACTTAATTTGATATTTTAAAATAATCTAATTTAATGAAAATAGCTGAAGAATTATAATTGGCAGCAAGAAGTTTTAAGTTTGGAGCAATGCAGACATTGTGTGGCTACATTACGGACTACTGTTCCCTGTTGGTTTTCCAGTTTTGAGCACATTCAGTGCTTTCAATATCAGACAGTACCAATATTTATTTTAGAATGCCATAAACAGTTGTGTTGTGGCTTTTTTGCCTTTTCCAAAACTTTTTTTTTAAAGGCCACGTGAGCACAGAAATTGGGGATGCGAAGATTATTTGAACCATACTTTTACAATCATTATACTCCTGGCAAACATGTCAACACCTTCATGACAGTATTGAATTAGCAGGAGGAGAGAAAAGAAAATCTATCCTGTGATCTGCATTGTCCTAGCTGCAACAGCAAACCCAAGTTACCAGGTCAGAGGGCACTAGC